CTTCTCGACCATCGGCCTCCAACGAGGCTCAGTCTGGTATTTCTGGCAGACTGTCTAAACGAGCTTCTGTGTCACTACCGGACATTTCATCCGTGGGTCTGGGGGGACCGCCTCATCCTCTTCCAGGTCGCCCGGAAGCAACCTTTACACCAGGTTGTAAAGGTTGCTTCTGCCGGTCTCTGTGGCCCGGATGGTCAATTGTTGGCGCCTCCCATAGATTTGCAATCCGTGCTCTCCACTGCCTTGTCCTCTCTGTTGGCGGCTGGGATTCATCAATCTTCATTGCAACAGGTCCTGTTTGTGCCTCCTTCTATGCCTCCTTCTTCGGCCCCACCTCGTGCCAAATCTCCTTCTCGCTTGGCACCTGCCTCATCGGATGAATCTGACTGTTATAATGAACCTTTGGAGGATTTGGAACTTTCGAAGGATGAAGGTCTTGCGCCTGATGTGCCTGCATTTACAGGATTGTTCAGGCCTTCCTTGTTCAAATCCCTTTTGCATAAGGCACGGCAGACCACTAACATGAATGAGTCGCCTTCTTCGTCTTCTGATGCTACCACCCCTCACGACGCTCTGTTCTCATCTTCTAAGCAGGGCAAGGATTTCATCCCCTGTCCTCAGCTTTTTTCGGATGTCTTACAGTCTCCCTGGTCTCAACCGGGTTCGTTAATGGGGCCCAATGCTCTAGACAAGAAGCTTTATTGCGCTGCGCTGGAATTGGACACCTTGTTGTCTTTACCGGTGGTGGATCCCCCGATTGCTAACATGTCTTCGTCATCCCTGGTCTCCACCGACTCTTTGGACGTTCTTAAATCGGAGGACAGGAAGTCGGAGCTCTCTTTTCGCAAGGAGCATCAAGCTCTGGCCTGGGCGATTAAGACAGCCACTGCCACGTCCTTCTTCAATCGAGCGATGCTACTTTGGCTGAGGCAACTCCAGGACAAATTACCACCAGAGGATACGCGCCTCCATAAAGATTTGAACAAAATTGTTGCTGCCACCGAGTATTCGGCGGATGCATCTTTGAATTCGGTCAAATTCACTTCCAGAGCTTTGGCTTCATCTATAACATCACGGCGCCTGTTTTGGCTTAGGAACTGGAGAGCCGACTCCAAGGCCAAATGGAAGCTAGCAGCGGCTCCATATAAGGCCCCGTCTCTCTTTGGTACCGCCCTCGACCCCGTCCTGGTCGAGGACAGGGACAAACGTAAGGTTATGCCTACTTCATCCTATCGTCGCCCTGAGCGCCGCTATACACCCTATTATCAGCGGCAGTCCTTTCGAGCTTCATCGGGTTCAGGAGCTCCCTACTCCCAACGTTCCTACTTCCAAGGTCCTGACTGTTCGTCCAACCGCCAGTGCTTTCGAGACAGGTCCCGTAACACCTCCACAGCCAAGCGACCCTTCCGTGGTTCCGGCTTCCGTCAATTCCGCAGAGGGAAGTGACTATACCCTGTTGGATCCCATTGGTGGCCGACTCCATCTTTTTCGTCATCAATGGGAACAGTCGACCACGGATGCGTGGATTCTTCGTACAGTGGCCGAGGGTTTGGCCATAGAGTTCCTGGATCGCCCTCCATCTCGCCACATTTCCTGCCCTCCTCTCCAAATGGGGCTGGACGCCCAACTACGGACGGAAGTTCTCCACCTATTACATATCAAGGCAATAGAGCCTGTTCCTCCAAACCAATGGGGCGAGGGCTTCTATTCAACCCTCTTCCTGGTTCCGAAACATTCCGGCGGTTGGAGGGCCATCCTCAACCTGAAACAATTGAATCTGTCAGTATCTTACCGCAGATTCAAAATGCACTCTCTGAGGTCCATCCTTGGAGGAATTCATCGAGGGGATTTCCTCCCGTCGGTCGACCTCAGGGAGGCATATCTGCATGTTCCGGTCCGACCTGCACACCGAAAGTTTCTGCGTTTCCAAATTGGGGAGGAACACTATCAGTACTGCGCCATCCCCTTTGGCTTATCATCAGCCCCAAGGACCTTTACAAAGTTGGTGGCGGTAGTGGCGGCCTCCCTCCGGAAGGTTCCTGTCAGGGTCTTATGTTACCTCGACGACATTCTGGTTCTGTCATCATCCAGGAGTCAAGTGTCTCGAGATCTTCGCAATGTCGTCGAAGCCTTTCAGATTCATGGCTTTTCAATAAACTTCCCGAAAAGCCACCTTCACCCTTCCACCACTCTGTTGCACCTCGGAGCGATTATAGACACCGTACAGGGGCAAGTTTTTCTTTCCCCGGACAGAATTCAAAGCATCTGCGACTTAATCCACCTAGCCCTATCGCAACAGTCCATTCCTCTCCTTCATCTCTCTCAGTTGCTGGGGAAAATGGTCTCAACCTTCTCAATTGTGCCATGGGCTTGTCGTCACACAAGGCCGTTACAATGGTTTCTCCTCCCCTACCAACGATCAGGCCAAAGCGACTCCCTACGCAAGGTGCCCCTTCCACCTCAACTTCGTCTCTCCCTTCGCTGGTGGTTAGGACCGGGCCTTCACAAGGGTTCGCACTTCCTGGTTCAAGACCGCCTGACCTTGACCTTGGATGCCAGCCTCCAAGGATGGGGGGCCCATCTTCACAACCAGATTGTACAGGGCCGCTGGTCCGGGGCAGAGAGACGACTCAACATCAATCTTTTGGAATTGAGGGCTATTCGTCTAGCTCTGTGTCATTTTCAACATCACCTGTCGGGCCATCACGTCCTTGTCCTAACGGACAATATCGCAGCAAAGGCCCATATAAACAAAGAGGGGGGCACTCAGTCAAGGCGCCTGATGTTGGAATCCGAACGCCTTCTGCGTTGGGCGGAGACGCATGTTCTATCATTGCAGGCCGATCACATTTCCGGCGTGGAGAACACCAGGGCCGATTGGCTCAGCAGACGGACCATAGACCAGTCCGAATGGCAACTTCACCCCGGTCTGTTTCGCACAGCTTGTTTCATCTTCGGTATGCCCGTGGTGGACCTTTTTGCCAGCCCGTCAAACGCTCAACTGCCACGTTTTGTGACTCGCTACCCGTGTCAGGCGGCGGAGGCTCACAATGCACTCAGGTGCCACTGGCCACTGGGTCTCTTATACGCTTTTCCTCCGATTCCCCTGATTCCTCAGGTAATTCGCAAACTGCTGGAGGAACAAGCGGAACTCCTCTTGGTGGCCCCAGATTGGCCACGCCGCCCGTGGTACGCGGATCTAGTAGCGTTGTCGGTCCACCCACCGTGGGTGATCCTGCAAGAACATCTGTCGCTTCGTCAAGGGGCCATCGCTCATCCAGACCCAGGATGGCTCAAATTGGCCGTCTGGCGTTTGAGCGGGTCATTCTGCAAAAAGACTGTATACCGGACTCTGTCATAGATACGATCCAGGCCTCCCGAAGACCTTCGACTTCTCGGATATATGAGTCCTCCTGGAAATCCTTTTGTTCTTGGTGCACTGTCAAATTAGTTGACCCTACTTCGGCTCAGATTGTGGATGTTTTGTGCTTCTTACAAGCAGGTCTCGACAAGGGTTTGTCACCGTCTACCCTCCGGCGTCAAACTGCTGCCTTGTCCACGGTCATCAGATGTCCTCCTTATTCTTCTCTGTCTCTGCACCCGTCGATTAAAGGTTTTCTCCACAGGGCTGTTAATCTCCGTCCACCGCCTGTCCACCGTTACACGTCCTGGGATCTTCCACTTGTTCTTCAGGCCCTTATGTCTCCTCCTTTTGAACCCTTGGGTTCTGTTCCTCTCAAGTATTTATCCTACAAGGTGGCTTTCCTTTTGGTGATCACCTCTGCAAGACGGGTTTCCGAACTTACCGCATTGTCAGTTAGAAAGGATCTCTGCATCTTTCAACCCAATACCGTGATTTTGCGCCTGGATCCTACGTTCTTGCCTAAAATAAACTCCTATTTCCATCGTGCCCAAGAGCTCGTGCTTCCGGATTTCTGTCCCTCGCCCAGGCACCTGCGAGAGAAGGACTGGCATACCCTCGACGTCCGTAGGGCTTTACGTCGATACATTCATAGAACTGAATCGTTCCGGAAGTCTGAGGCACTTTTGGTTTCTTTTCATCCTTCATCATTAGGTCAAAAGATATCTCCATCTACTGTAGGCAGATGGATTAAAAAGTGCATCGCCACGGCTTACGAACAACGAGGCTGTCCTGTCCCTCCTCGTGTTTTGCCTCACTCTACCCGTAGCACTGCAACGTCGGCCGCTTGGGCTACGCAGGCGTCGGTCTCGGATATCTGCCGAGCTGCCACGTGGTCCTCTGCTACACCGTTTATTAGACACTATAAGATCGATGTTTACGCCTCAGCTGAGGCTTCATTTGGACGACGTGTTCTGCAGAGTGTTCTCGCAGGCCAGGTCTCTGGGAGTGATTTGTCTCCCGCCCTTGGGATCTGAACTTTGGTATATCCCATATGTGGATTGCATGAGCAGTGAGCTGGAAAAAGAACGTTGTCTTACCTGAACGTTCCTTTTCAGCTTCACTGCGAATGCAATCCACCCCCACCCTTTGTTGCATTTGTTTCTTTATATTTCTACCGGTTCTAGTTCTTTATGGCTCCATTGTATTTACTTACCTGACTCTAACTTCACCTAGGTGGTCGCGCCTTCGTTCAAAGACTGATGCATCATGGGACAGCAGGGCGTGGCCACAGCACGGAGGGAGATATTCAAGAAAATTTACCCAGTCAGAGATAAGCGATGGGGAAAACAACCCATATGTGGATTGCATTCGCAGTGAAGCTGAAAAGGAACGTTCAGGTAAGACAACGTTCTTTTTCTTATATTACATTTGAGATTCTTCTAGTATTGGAGTCAAAACATGACATTTATACTTTTTTTTTTCTTTCTTTCTGTTAAGATTATAACCTTATAAGGCACATTACATCTTCACTCCTAACACATTTTCAGTATTCTCAGCAACTAAGAACTTTGATCTCTTTTATAAATATCTAAAATATATAATTTTTTTTAAAAAAGTATGTTGTACTTTGTTCTAGGAGAGAGGCACAGCTGGATGAGGAAGGACAGTTTTTGGTCAGAATTATTTATGATGATTCCAAAACATATGATTTGGTTGCTGCAGCAAGTAAAGTCCTCAGTGAGTAAATTTGGCTTTCTTTCAGCATTGCTTCTAAAGGATATGATGCTAGATGCTATTCAGCTAGTTTTATGTTTTATGATATACATATGAGTATATAGTACAAAAAATGTTTTCTGTAGTTCAGTCTGGAGTATTATTTTTCAATGACTTGACAATGGTACTATGCAGTCATTCTGAGAATGTTTGTTTCAAATTAAGAGCAGGCCTCAGGACTGCTAAGGAACACTTTCTTTACAAGGTAGATAGTTGCTTCAGAGGATCAATTTACCTCTGAAGTGGCTAAGTTTATATTCATATTCCTACATACTATGATCTCATTAAATATTGGTGTCCCCTTCATTGGCTGATTTCTGCCACTTAAATGTGCATGTATATGCATATGTGAAATGCTCCCGGTTTGGACTGGATTGGGCAATCTGGTAGCGATCGTGGCGGGCAGTTCGGCGATCTGGTAGCGATGCCGGAGCAAAGCTCCACCCATCTGCCCCGGTGTCATTACTTCCTGGTAATGCGTATTTTACCTTCTGTGCTTGCGCAGAAGGTTTTGCGCATGCGCAGAAGATCTGCACGTGCATGTGATGCGTGGTGCGTGCACTTCCGAACCAGTAAGGAAGGTAAGTAGATTTCACTCCTGATATGTGTACACATAAACAAGCATGTCTAATACATTTAGCATCATATATATTTTGTGAGATAGAATAGAAAATATTTACCATATATGTGCTTCTCAAATGTGTTTTGCATATCACTGTTATTCTTTATTATGAGCTTCAATTTAGAAGAACAAATGGGCATGTGTATATCAGAATTTTTGGAAGAATTTGTTTTACACAATCCAATCCATTGAACTTTGAGACAATTCTTGAAGCTCCTCTAAATGTGCTGGTTATCTAATCTGAAATCTCTAAAATACTTTAAGTTCTCATAAAGATTTTAAAACTGGTTTTGAAAATAAGTAATAGATATAATGTGTCTTTCTAGACTATAATTTGCTGAATTCCTTATGGTATTGGTTAACATTACTCATTTTATTATTTTACTTAATCAGTGCTGTAATATTATTTCTTGCTTAGCAAAAAGCATTGACCTTGACACTTTCAAAACACAGAATTTTATTATTTTATTTGTTTATTAATTTTGCAGACCTTAACGCCGGAGAAATCCTTCAAATGTTTGGGAAGATGTTTTTTGTGTTTTGCCAAGAATCTGGTTATGACACCATCTTACGTGTGTTGGGATCAAATGTTAGAGAGTTTTTACAAGTAAGTTAGCTGAGACAAATGGTTCAGTTCCAGGACAATTGAATTTGAACAGTGTGTTTACTATGGTACTATGCTCATTTACTTAAACACAACAATGTAATTTATCAAATTTCTAGATCCAGAATCGGAAATCCTTTCACTCTGGCTACTTTGTAGGCAGTAACTTTTTATTTGCTATGACACTAGCTTTATCAAAAATAATGTCTTGCTAATTCACATTTAAGAAACAAAATAATACACATCAAACTTCAGTTTTTCATGTAATTAGGAAATTAGTGGAAATTATAAGAAAAGCATATTTAAATAGCATATATCCAAAACAAAAACAATGAAAAAGTCACAACCTTGATTACTAAATTCCTTTTCCATTCCATTTTTGTTGTGTCCAGATAACACTATAGTTGAACCTCTGGCATCTTGAGATGAATAACTTCTATTGCAATAAGAACATGCTCAGCTAATTTGAATTATTTTAATAATGTGAGGTATTTTTATAATATACTATATACATTTATTCGTATGGGGACAAATGGAATTGTTTACTCCTATTGATGACACTTCATAGCTGTCAACCTTGAAGCTGACCTGACTGAGGCCATTTTGAGGCTTCAGGGCTGCCACAACTGGACTAAGGGATGGAGAGGGAGGAGTAGAGATAGCTGGGGTTTGTAGCCAAAACAAAATACTTTCTCCTGGGAAGGACATTCCAGCAGGTGCTTGGAAGGAGGGGACTGGGGTCACCTAGCAACTGAACTGTATCCAGATTGGATCATGTGATTGATTGTTTTGAGAAAGTGAAAAACTTCTACTTTTAATTAGGAACGTTTAGAGTTGGTTTTCCCCAGTCCGTGCCAATATGGCATATCCAATAAAGCTATTCTTTGAGGAATCTACCTGCCTCAGAGTTTCGTTTGCTGTGGGTATGTTACTTGGAACCCTGACAATAGCATCTAAAATAGATATTCTAATAATGTAAAAAAAATATCTATAGCTTTGTAGACAATAAATGACAGGATGATTTATACATCAAATACATCTCAAAACCTTAAGAAAATGTGATTCTGTGCATTCATTTATCCATATACCATTTCAAAACGCAACCATTGTTTTAAATACAAGTTTAATTTTATGACTTTAAAAATATCTCCAGTACATAATTTGAGAAGAAAATATTGCTAAAGGCAATGTTAACGCAGCATGTAAATGAAGAATGGCTAGTCAGTAAGTGCAATTTGAGGCATCCCAGGGGTATTTTTGTATTAATAGCATAAAAGAAAAATCAATCAGACATAGAGTGGTGGTTAATAAAAAATACTTTAGGGAGCAGTCTAGTGGTCTACTCATATTCTGTTACTGACACAAATATGCACTCTCTGAAGATATAATATTCAAAAACATGGCAACATATCAGGCAGCTTTGACCTTGAAAGCTAGCTTAAAGATGGCCAGGTATAAAAATTAATCTTTTATATTTCCACTTACTTAAATTGAGTTTTCTGCATAATTATTAAACATTAAGCAAAATGTAATGAGGAAAACATGTGCATTGATATTTTTCACTGATACTTGAAATAAATGGAATCTGTATTCTTTCCACTTCTTGTACTATATAAAAGCCAGAGTTATACTAAAAACAATTTACTTAACAAATACAGGTAATCCCAGTGTTATGACTGTTCATTTAGTGCCTGTTCGAAGTTACAAGATAACCGCCCCCTAGTGTTTATGAGAAAGTCCCAGAATTATGAATGTTGTAGCACCATGGCAGTTGTTCACCTCGTGACTGGCTGTTGTTACTGAGACATGGTCCAATTTCTGGTGAACTGGCCAGCCATTCAAACTATCAAACAAGCCAAAACCAGACCATGACTCAGAAGCACCCAGATAAACAATTCTAATCCTAATCTATATCACACAGAGAGTACATAACTATAGCCAGCAACAACAGCCAGCCTATCAAACACTCCGAAATCAGATCATGATTCAGAATATCCGAACAAACAACATTCAGGCTAATTTGCATCTCATAAAAAGGTATTTAAAGACCTGTATTCTGACAGACAAGCACATCTCAAAGTGCACTGACGATGTCTCCTTGAATGGTGACGAAACATAACCAAATTGTCAAGCTCGGAGCTCAAACCAACAGCCTAACTAGCAACCCAAGCTACTAATATTCAAACACATTTCATTCCTAGCTATTTCCAAAGTTTTGGACATTTACATATGTTAAATATGGATCTAATATCTGATATTGCATTACATATAAAACATCTTCATTCCTCACAACATATGCTTTAGAGTTACATTAACAAAATATAGCTGCATAAAATTCAGGAGTAGGGATAAAGACTGTACAGTAATTTAGAACTGATGGAAATGGTGCTATTGTGGTTACTATGTGAATGTTTTTTTTTTCACTATCTTAGTGCAAGTAAAAGTAAGGTAATGAAAGTAGGGGGATACTTGCAAAGTAACAGATTTCCCATCCAAGTACTGTTTTCTTGATTACCTTTCTTGAAATATGTGCTTTCCAACATCTTTAGAGGTTTATTTTATACAGAATAGGTATACTTTGAATCTCTGTTTACCTCAGCTTGAGCACAGCCTCTCAATGAGAATGTTAGAAAATTAAATTATAACATTTTCTTGTAATTATTTCTCTCCCAGAATCTTGATGCTTTACATGACCATCTTGCTACAATATACCCAGGTATGCGTGCTCCTTCCTTTAGATGCACAGATGCAGAAAAAGGGAAAGGCCTCATTCTGCATTACTATTCAGAGAGGGAAGGACTCCAAGATATTGTCATTGGAATCATCAAAACAGTTGCTCAACAAATTCATGGCACAGAAATAGATATGAAGGTAAATGTCAAGATAAAGTCTCTCCAATGGTTGGTATTTCATAAATAAAATTACTTTATAGCAATTTCTTTATCTCTTTTTCAAAAGTAAACTTATTTTCAAGGTACAGTACTATTTTCCCATTATAAGGCACACAGGATTATTGTGAGTAATGGATATCTCATCATTACTTCATTATTCTATTACAAATTTCAAGAGTTAATTTTTATTTATAGAAAATTACAAATAGCAGTATCAGGAACAGAATCCTGTGTAAATTTTGTTTGATTTTTGTATATTGCTAATTTTTGTAATGTTACTTGTATATTAATTGATCAAACAATTCTAGAATCCTAAATGTGCTTTTGATACAAGATCAGGATTTGCCCCAATATTTTATAATCTGACACAGGATAGGAGGAGAATTTTTAAGAATGGACAAAAAATAATACTACCCATATTACTACAGAGTTTCCAGTTCTAGTTTTCATAGAAGGGTTACTTGGGAATACCTCAGCTTCTTAATGTAAGTTTGACTTCTCCAGTTGGTGTCCTTCAGATACTTTGAAAGTTAGTAACCATAATTCCCAACTCATTGACTATACCAGTGATGGCTAACCTTTTTTGCCATTGCGTGCCAAAAGAGGGGGGAGTCCTGGGGGGTCACGCGCATGTGCCCACACCCATAATTATATGCCCCTTGCCCTGGGGCCCCTTGCTCTGGGGAGAGCAAAAAATGGGCCTTCCCCACCCCAACCCAGGCCCTCTGGAGGCAGAAAACAGCCTGTTTCCCTACTCCTGGTAGGCCCAGCACGCGCATGCACGCCGAAGCTGAGTTTTCATGCGCCATAGGTTCGCCATCACGGGACTATACTGTTTGAGAAGTATCAAATTGGGAATGACTATCAATGTCTGTTTGGGTGAGAGCACATCAATTCTTTCTCTTTTTGTGCTCTTATTTTCTTTTAAAAAATATACATAAATAATAGACTCTGCATAGACTAGTTGTAGAGACTGCCTGATTTCTGGTTTTTTTAAATTGTATTCCTGTTCCATAAATTGAGAATGTCCTATACATTATTTTGTGTTATTATGGATGAAATCATATAGAACAGCCCAGGGATGAAATGTACTTACCTTTCCTACCACTTTGCTGATGTGCATGCGCCACACATCTGCGCATGTGCAAAGCCTTCTGTGCATGCACAGATGGCCAAAACCGGGACGTGATGACATCCTGGTTGGGAGGGGGAACCTCCTGCCACTGGCACTACTGGTTGTCCGAATTAACCCTGCCGGCGCTACTAGCTCCCGTGAGCTGGATAGAGCCAGCAGCATTTCACCCCTGGAACAGCCTAATACATTATATACTTGATATCAGAAATCAGGTGAATATGAGAGTTTAGCAGAAACATGAACATTGATTAGAGACTTTAATCTGGACAGGATATATTGCATCCTTGGGTGGATGATAACTAATTAGATAAACTGATCCAGTTGATTACTTACAAAAAGAATAGAAAACACCCTATCTCCACCGGTTTATTGATTTGCCTAACATTGGCTGGGAAAAGCATTAGTGAAATTAGAAGTGGAATAGGACAATACCTATTTTTTTAATTTTACTGAAAGGTCTTCATAGAAAAGTCAGTCATAGGTAAATAAAATAGCTTTACTAAACAAAGACAATATGCCCTCCCAAAGGAGGTGGTGCAAAACTGTGCATAATGTTGGCTGGAAAGGTGATACAGCGGCTCCTGAAGCTACCTGCATTATAGCCACAGAGGGGATGGGGGGCAGCCCGGCAAGCTTCCCAGCCATGTGGCTACGAAGCTTTCCCTTCCTGCTGCCCATCAGCAGAGGTGCTCTCCTGGGAGGACAGGAGAGGTCAGCTGCCAGTCTGCAGCCCCTTGGTGGAGCGGTTCCACATGGCCTGAGCTCTGGACTGCACTGTTGCCCCGCCTTGCTTTCCCCCAGCTGGTTCCCAAGCTAGGAGGCAGCAGCTGGTTCCCCCTGCCCTTCCGATGGCCAGCATGACCGTGGCTCTCCAGGAGCTCGGCAACAACGTGAGTAGCAATGGCAACCGCCCACCCACCTGCTTTCAGTCAAGGGTGGGCTTGTTTGCAAAAGCACAGCGTAGCCGAGGGTCATGCTCAACCGGGCCAGGCAAAGAAACTGCCCGATCTGAAGGTGGGGACACTTTTTTGGGGGGGGAGGGGAGACGCCACTTTTATCCTTCGCCCACCCAACCACTACCCATGTCCAGGCACTAAATTGGGGAAACTCAGGCATGATTGGTCTTGAATGCGGGTTCACGCACCCCCCTTCGCGTTTTTGCAGGTTGGAGGGCATGGAGCATGGACCCTTTTTCAAGCCCGCCCCAGCCGGGTTGAGTCCTTCCTTGGGGTGGGTGCCCCGGACACGAGGGGCACAGGCTAGGACCGGGTGCCCTCATCCATTTCTCCCAAAGGTGCTTTTTTTTCTCTCTCCAGGAGGCAACTGGACTTTCTTGTTTTTCTCTGAGGAAGCTTCTGGAAGGAGCTGAAGAAACTTCTTGGAAGAGAAATGAAAGGTCTTTGAAGAAAAAGCAGAAAATCTAGCTGCCTCTTGAAAAAAAAAAGGGTCTTTGGGACAACCTGGATGACCCCATAAACATCCCTCATCCTAGCCTTCTTTTCTGATGCTCCTAGCCTTGCTTGCCTTCCATCCCTTGTGGCCACTCTCCCAAGCCCATGATTGTGGAGCATCAATAAGTCCTCTTGTGGTATCAAGGGTGGCTGAGGGTTCGGAGATGGCACACACCCATGGTTTCCTGATTGCCAGGGCTAATTGGGAAATCTAAACTGGAGAGATCTGGTCTGTCCCGAACTTTTGAAGCTGGTGGGCTCTAGATAAAAGTCCAGTTTGATGCTGACGTAGAGGTTTTTGTTGGAATCCTAGTTTAAGTTTTGGAGAAAGACTTAATTCACCCTAAGCTTGTGACTGCTTTCATCAAAACTGAGAGTGATTTAGAAAGAAAAAAAGAAAAAAAGAGACAGAGAACGAGAGAAAGAAAAAGAGACAGAGAAAGAGAGAAAGAAACAGAAAGAGAAAGAAACAGAAAGAGAAAGAAAGAAAGAGAAAGAGAGAAAGAAAGAGGAAGGAAGGGAGAGAGAGAAAAAAACTCTCTGCTATTATTTTTAATTGTTCCATTATTTATCATGTGTTAATATTTTACACATGATACCTAGAGTGATTTTACTGCCTTTCTTTTGTCCAGGGCTACCACATTTTTCAGAGATTTACATGCATTCAATGTCTGTAGTCCAGAGCATAAATATATGTGTGTTTATTTTGTACATCAGGTTGCATGAGTCCAGTTTAATATGCTATTCCTGGTATGTGATGTTTTGTATGTGGAAAAAGAAGCACTCTTGTGATCTTTGATTTTTAGGCTTGCTGTCAAACATCAGCCATAATACTAATTACTGTTTTGAACAATATGCAGGTTATATTACATGAATGGCTATTTTATTTGTGAAATTATGACTGAAATATTTCTGCACCTATATTGGTTCTCACTGTCAGAAAGTTTCTCCTTAGTTTTAGGTTTGTCCAGTTTCCATCCATTGCTCTTGTTTTGCCTTCTGGTGCTTTGGAAAATACATTGCCCCCCTTTCTTTCTGGCAGCCCCTTAAAAGGTTGTTGCCTATCACACTCTTGGGCAAAGCATGTGAGCCATCTCCTCCTTTCAGTGGTCCATGAAAGTACATCTGTAGTATGTAGATAATAAAGTTGAAAAAAGGTGAACAACTTTTTTACAGAACTATAGATACATTGAGACTGGGTGTGACAAGGAATAGCTGGGAGGGGAGGGGCCAGGCGAGGCACACCTTGACATGAGTGTCATTGAGTTGGCCACGCCCACCAAGTCACATAACCACCAAGCCACGCCCACAGAACCGGTAGTAAAAAGATTTGGAACTCACCCCTGGTATGCTATAGTTGAAAAATGACAAGTTAGAGTAAAATCCATGTCTATTCAAAAGTAAAGTACGTTGAACTTAATAGGATTTTTTCCCCAGATATATACAGTATCTTCAGGTTCTTTTACCTTGTTGTGTGGTAATTTATCAGTGATATTAAATGAATAGTTTCATGCCAAGTACATAAATCTGGCTTGGGTCCAGAGACTGGTTTTGTACACGACAGAATACCTCTCTTGTACATGGGGAATAATTTCCTCCTTCTTGGGCAAAAGCTTTATATAATCAAAATACAGTTTAAAAATTGCTACTCTTGTTAAACCTTTAATTCAGGGTTATTGGATCTGTATAAGGGTGTAATGAAAGATTATTTATGAATATGATTACAGTATGTGAAAAAATAGTAAGTGCATGAAAATGAGTTTATATAAAAGCTGGACATCTGTTTCACAAAACTATATTGTGAAAGTTTCCCATTTAGATTAAATGCTTTAACTTAAAACATTTATTATATTTCATTATATTTTAAAGCAAAAGCAAATCCTGTTCGCTGGCATTATTCTTCCTTTCTTGGTTTCATATATTAGGGAAGCACTGGATGTATTCAAAGTATTGCCAAGGTATTCTAGAAACCAGAGATTCAAATTGTCAAATTGTCAATCATGCAAGGGGCTTTTTGGAACCTATAGTTTTCTATGCTGTAAATTGATTCTTCCTGATGACCCTTTTCCTTTGGCAAATAACTTGATATGAAGATCAAATTGAGCTTCAAAAGTAGGCTTTCTTGTTCTTAAGTCATGATGCCTTACATTTATGCTATTAGTTCATTGTTTGGATAGTTGTAACACTGCCAGGAATTCTAATTTAAGTCTGTTTATTTTTACTCATGCACTTTAGGTGTCTAGATTGGAATTTAGTATGAGCAACATTTGTTGCTGAAGAATAAAAATAGACTATTTTTGTATTAACCAGCTTTTCTTTGTGATGTCCAGGTTATTCAACAAAGAAATGAAGAGTGTGACCATATTCAGTTCTTAATTGAAGAAAAAGAATCCAAAGAAGAAGATTTTTATGAAGATCTTGACAGATTTGAAGAGAACGGTACTCAAGAGTCTCGCATCAGTCCATATACATTTTGCAAGGCTTTTCCTTTCCACATTATATTTGACAGAGACCTAGTTGTCACTCAGTGTGGAAATGCAATATATAGAGTCCTTCCCCAGGTAAGGATTCTTGTTTTTCCTGCAAAGCTTTTGAATTCCAGACTTTCTACCATTCTATTCACTTTTCTTACACCAGTTCTATTATTCAATATTTTGTATGCACTATTTGGACTATGAAATGTATTTCATATTTCTCCTTTTTTTACTATTATATCTGAATCTGCACACATGAAGTTTTAATAATCAACCTTTTAAACATTTCGTTTAAAAATATTAATGCTGAAAAACAAGCATAAGCCCTGATTGGTGTAGTTTATATATTGGTGCACTTATATATTTTAAATAGTTTTCAGTTCATAATTAGCTATACCTATATTACGAATTGAAAAGTTTTTTCCCTTTTTAATTAGCAAATATTAAGTAAGCCAGCATTTCAAAATATTTATATTATTTCATGCCTCTACTTTTCCTTTTCCCACCCCTTTCAGGTTGATTTTCATATAGTATGACAATGGAGTACAATCCTTGATGAAAAGCCTAGAGTTTTTCATCCTAAATTTTTTTCATTAAAGAGTCCATTTGAATTTATTTTAGCCTATGCAGCCTGAATCACTGTAAACATGAAAGTTGTGAATAGGGCCACATGGAACAGGTCAAAGTAGAAGTGGCCATCACTTTCTACAAGTGTTGCTTGAATTACTGCTGTGGATTGTAGAACACAAAGTGAGGTATAGAGATTGTTTATAGAAGTGTTTCTCAATCTTGGCAACTTTAACATGTGGACTTCAGCTCCCAAAATTACCCAGCCATCATGCAAGGCTGAAAAATACTGTTTTAGAATATTTCCTTGCTCAGTGCGATTGAAGATAGGATTCATTCTTTCATCCTGGAGCTTGGACAACTCTTATTCAATTTATTTTTTTATGCAAAAGGTCCATTATTTAATTGTACAATATGAGCACTAGTTCACTAAATATTATTATATTAAAACCACAGACAGAACATAGAAAAATGGACTGCAATAACTAACCAGAATTCAAAGTTTTAAAATGTTTTTCTTTCTTTTTTCTTTATATTTCAGCTCCAGCCAGGATATTGCAATCTATTATCAGTATTTTCATTGGTTCGGCCTCATATTGATATTAGTTTCCATGGAATCCTCTCACATATCAACACAGTGTTTGTGTTAAGGAGTAAGGTAATCTAAAACCGAATTTGCAATTTTTCAATAGATATCTGTTTTACTAGAAGAAAAGACTTAAAACTCATGTTAGTTTGAAATAGTAAAAACGCTTTCAAGTGTTTTTGAAAACGGAGAGGGAGACGGGGGCAGCGGCGGCCGCTAGCATTGAGGGGAGAGTGCCACACAGAAACGGGAGCACATAGAAATGCCACCCCCTTTTCCCTCTCTGTCTCTGTTGCTGGGCTATCCTGTGCGAAGAAGGGGCTAATAGAGAGGGGAAGAGTGCAAGGTTGCTGCTTCTGAAACGAGGGTCCCTTCCAATTCTGTTATTCTGTTATCTTTTGACTGTCCATATATGAGGATATTCCATCTTGGATCTTGGATGGGCTTGCACAGTCTGTGAATCTTCATGGATCTAAAGCTTATGCTTAAAGAACCAGTGGCAGTTGTGGTCAAAAAGGCAGCCTCTGCTGTACCACTTGCACACTTTCAGGACCTTTAGATAGTCACTCATACCATGGTCATGTTGACTATTGTCTTGCGGCTGTACATAGGGCTGGTGGGCCACTGGAAGCCCCAGCTGGTCCAGAATGCAGCATCATGAGCAGTGGTAGGCATGCCTTGGTATTCCCAGTAAACCTCTGTTTTACCGGCTGCACACATTGTCAATTTGCTTTTGGATGCAATTGAAGTGCTGGTCGTTACCTATAAAGCAGGGGTCTCAAACTGGCGGCCTATGGGCCAGATGTGTCACATGCAGGTCATGCCCACCCCAGCTCCGCAAATGGGGAAAACGTCCCAAAACGTCACGTGACAGCAACATGACATGGCAAGTTTGATACCCATGCTATAAAGCTTTACAAGGCTTAGGGCCAGTGGTGGGTTGCTACCGGTTCTCCCCAGTTCTTGCGAACTGGTAGTGGAAATTTTAAGTAGTTCGGAGAACCAGTAAATACCACCTCTGCCTGGTCCTGTCCCCAATCTATTCGCTGCCTCCCGAGTCCCAGCTAGAAGGAAAAAAACTGTTTAAACTCTTGCCGCGGCGCTTCAAAGGGCCGCCCTACAGCTGATCAGCGGTAAAAGGCAGTATGGTGGTAGACCAGTGCGTTCCAAAAACAAATAGGTAGACTGGAACACTCCAAAAACAAATGGGTAGACTGGTACGGTTCTGCAAGCAGTTAAAAGTCTGGTAGACCAGTACCTCTGCTAAATCCTAAAGAATTATCATATGACCATCAAACCACGCCCACAAAATAAGCCACATCCACAGAACCGGTAGTAAAAAATTTTAGAACCCACCCCTGCTTAGGGCCTAGTTTCTGAATAGGGATTAATTAATCTGTACTGAATAATTGGTATGCTCCGAGTTCCTATGGTTAACCTTTGCTTTCTATTTGGACCTTGGAAGTGTGCATTCTCTGTCTCAGTGCCTCCCCTCCTGAATGGGATTTCTCCTGAGATCCATATGGTCCCTACCCTGCTATTTTTCAGAATATGGTAAAGACTTGGCTCTTCAACCAGGTCTTTGACAAGGGAGAGTGACACCCTTGTTTTGTTTCCATTCAGGCTATCATTCTTGTTATCTATTTTTTTAAAAATCTTTTTTAATGTTCTATTGTAATTTCTTCCTTTTGATTGTTTTGAGCCACCCAGAGTTGAGAACTGGGTTTTACAACAACGGAAATGCTTTTCTTTATAATATTTGTTTAGGTAAAGATCAGAAAATCAGAAATAAAAGCATTAAAGTTTTCTCTGGGTGACCCTGAGGGCACAGGCTTATAACAATGGTACTTTTCATTGAACTTTCTTTTTGTTCTTTAAAAGGAAGGACTTTTGGATGTAGAAAAATTGGAATGTGAAGATGAATTGACTGGTACAGAAATTAGCTGTTTACGCCTGAAAGGGCAAATGATCTACTTACCTGAAGCAGATAGTATTCTTTTTCTTTGTTCTCCAAGGTAAGCAAATAAGATTTGCATGTGTAGCGCATTTATACTGTTGCAACAACTAGAATTGCAGCCTTTGAAACCAAAACGCTGTGATGCAAAAGGTTCTGTGTTTGTTTTATGTTATATTGCTACATTAGAAGCTTCCTTTTGATTCTTTTTTTTAATTGAAAAAGTTTTACAAATACAATTTTTCCCCCTCCCCCCCCCTTTCCCTCCCTAACCCTCCCTTACTCTCCCCTCCCCCCATGGCTTCCCCAGAATGAAATCCAATTATACATTTCTTCCTGACATTCTAGTATATTATCCCCTGTAAACTATACATTTCTAGACAACATTCATCTAAAAATTATCTAATACTTCTTAGTTTAATATTTATTCTACACATAATCTATCCCTATCCTCCACTCCCTTACATAAATCTCTTGTGTCCGGTCTTTTATATATGCTGATAACTTCACCATTTCTACAAGACTAGCCAGCTTCAGAGTCCATTCTTCAATAACATCCCTTTTCCAGTATAACCTAATCTATCACCATATACCTTATCAGTTTTGTTTCACCCACTTTCCCGCAGGTCCGCCATATATAATTATTTATAAAATCTAAACAATCACATCAGATCCTTCTTCCAATGGAGTATTTAGTGTCTTTAGTTGCCATCTGCCCACATCGTTAAGAAATACTTTTATGTATAACCCCCCCCCCCGAGTGACTTTATATTTATATTCCATATAATATCTTCTGCAAAGTCTTCCATCTAGATTATTAATTCCATCAGTCGTGTTAGGGTAACAACCAGATCAACTGCAAATGCCCTTGTTCCGTAGTCCTCTTGCCTCATAATTATTCCCTTCAATGTACACATAATCCATCTTTCTTAAAATCTATAATAGAAAGTTCCAATTCACTCAATTACAGGCCTTTTCCACATGCTTAAACACCAGCACTGCAGGGATCTGTTTATTCTTCTCAAGATAGTCCAATAAGCCTATAATTTGCCTCACATTATCTTTCATATATCTGCCTTCTATAAGTCCTACATAAACATAAATCGGTTCTTAGATAACTGGCATTGATATGTTGGATAATAGTTTTACAAAAATTTTATAATCCATATTCAAAAGAAGTATTGGTCTAAAACTTTCTAGTTTTGTGGAACCTGCTTTTTTTCTTGCCTTGTAGTGGCTTGAAGCTCTGCTGTTGTTGCTTTTCTGGAATTTGTTTATATGCTGTTCGAGTTGTATGCTGATCTTTAACTGTGCAGGACATTAGATCAAGATCCACAGCCGCTTCTCTTGTGTTTTTAAGTGGTCCAGCTAAAACCTTTAAAGGATAATCCAAGCGCGAGTCATCCAAAGAGCCCCCTGTAGTTTGTATTTCCATTGGCTCCACCTCCATCTGCTTCCACTGGACTTTAATTTGCTTTTCTTTATCTCCCTCCTGTATTCCTGACGCTGACAATATACGTGGAGATGTTGGGCCAATTTTAAAAACATTGCGATAAAATTCTTCCGCTTTTTCAACAGTATTTAATCGATATCTTTCTCCTTGATACGTCAATCTTATGCCAACTGGGACATCCCATCTGTATGGAATCTGTTGTTTCTTTAGTTCAATCACCAAAAATCCAAAATCTTTTCTGTCTTTTAACATCTTAGGCGGCAACTCTTTGTAAATCCCAATCTGCCTTCCATCCACTTGTAGGGTAGAAACAAAAGACTTTTGCAAGATGTCATTTCTTATTCTTTTATCTGTAAAATATATCACTACATCTCTGGGCAATTGCCTTTGTCTTGCTACCCAAGAATTCACTCTGTAAATCTTATCAATTTTGGACAGAGCCTCTTCAGGGCTAACCTTTAACATCACAGCCAAGGCATCAGCACAGATCCTTCTCAAATCTCTGTTATTTTCCTTTATCCCCCTCAGTCTTACCGCAAATTCCATAAATTTAAATTGCATCATTGTAACTTCATTTTCAATCCTTTGCATTTTATTATCCACATTATAGATCTTATAATCAGCTTCCTTCATTTTAGACTCTACTTCTAAGTTGGTTTCTTTGATTTTTTTATCAATCTGAAGAATTATTTCTGAGAAGCCAGTCAGAACTGTCAAAAAATCTCGCTTTATCTTATCATGCCTTTCTTGCACCAGTTTCTTAGTTTCCTGTTGAAATTTCTCAAACTTCTGGTCCATAAGCACAATAATAAATTCCTTCAAGTCTTTAAAATCAGTGCTTAAAAACTGCTCTTGTAATTTATGAGTAGGGGAACCCCCCCCCATACAGCTTTGTTATCTGGCTTTAAAGCCATTCTCCCACGCAGACAGACTCTTTTTTTAAGAAGGAAATCTTCTCTCCCTTCTCACCAGCACAAAATCCTCTCAGAATTAATCAAGTCTCTAAGGGAGATAGAACATAAAGACAGTTTGGGAAAAAAAAACTTTTTCCTTCTCTTCTAACCAGCGCTGTTATTTTAGATACTTTATAGCATACTGAAACAATCAGGCAAGTCCACTTTCGCTTTCAGCTTTTTTTTTTCCTTTCAAGCAGCTAAAGCCAGGCGCCATTTTAAACCTTCATTCTTTCTTCAATCTTAAATCCAATCACAGGGGTAATATATATACTTGCAGTTTTAGATTCCAAATCCGGATTTCACTCTGTTTATTTTAATCCTTTAATTTTCACTAATTACGTTGGTCGCGCCGTCTGGCTCTGCAATAAGCAGAGTTCCCCCGTAGTCCGGAGCCTCGGCGAGCTGGATAGGGAGCCTCATCCTGCTTCCTCCCCAGAGACAAAAAGGACACTCTGGGGACATCGCAGGGGCTCTACCGGCTCTCGCCGGGTCTCCTCACGCTTCTTCAAAGAAGCGGAGTTTTTTCGAGCCGCCTCTCAGCTGTGGAGGCGGCTCTTTACGGGCGGCGGGGCTGGTGGTCATAAAAGACCGTCTGGCGACGACAGCGACCAGAACCGGAAGCCCGCTTCCTTTTGATTCTTGATCAGGAGGTGATTTCTGCTTGTCCTGCATCCCTATATAACAGCAACCCCCAACCTTTTGGGTACCAGGAATTGGTTCTATGGAGAGAGGTTTTTCCGTGGACCGGAGGGGGTGTGGTCTTGTATGCTGCCTGCATCCAACAGATGGGGCTTTGCTTGTTTGTGCGACCCAGTTTCTGGCATGTTATGGCCTGGTGTTGGTCCACAGACTCGGCGTTAGGGTTCCCTGCTGTAAAGTCCATTCCTGAAGCTGATGATAGTATCACTGCTGGGGAAAGTATCAAAGTATAATAACACTAAGAAAAATATAGGCAATAGAAGGATGGGTGGTAATGATTAAAGTCCCCCGATAAAAGTGTTTAATTGCTTGTATTTTGGCTTTGATTTCAAATAATGTTGTAAAAGAATCAGTTATTGCAGCAGAATAATGCTAATGTTGTTAAATGTACCACATAGAAGAATTAAAAAATGCAATATTAATAGTGTATTAAATTATGAAATAGAGATATATTGTTACTTTTTGGCAATTGAAGAATACTTGCAAAACAGATTAATCAGTATCTTCTACATAAGTACCAGGAAAATCTTGCCCTGTCATTTTCTCATTCATTTTTAATTGATTAGTGTGATGAATTTGGATGACTTAACTAGAAGAGGACTGTACTTAAGTGACATTCCCCTGCATGATGCTACTCGTGATTTGGTCCTTTTGGGAGAGCAATTCCGAGAGGAATACAAACTGACACAAGAACTGGAAATATTAACGGATAGGCTCCAGCATACTTTAAGAGCTTTGGAAGATGAAAAGAAGAAGACAGATACGTAAGATTTAATCTCTTACTTTGAATATGAAATGGTATAAATAATCAATTTTTATCCCTCTGCTGTCCTCTGTTTGGAGGCTCATAAACAACTCTGATTCCTAATTGCCTAGTTAAAGTCATTACTCTAGATAAAGTAAGATAAAAATATTGAACAAAGAAACACAAACATGTCTCTTGTTGAAGCCTGAGAATGTTTTCTATTTACAGTTCTTGCACACATGTGACCTTTATATTTAGGTCACCATTTCTCTTATCAGTCTGGGTGGATAAAGAAGATATAAATGTTTGAATACAGTGAAAGTAGTTTAGTGTCATGCCACTAAACTAAACAATCTGCAATGTCTGAACTTTCTAATGGAATGTTCATATGTAGTTTAATCATATAAATTACTAATTTTAATGTATATTTTTTAAAAAGACATGGTTCTGAAGCTTTGTATGAAATGCATTCTTCAGCCTTCACAATCTAGGCGAGTTGCAATTCACTCCTCATAATATGTAGTCATCATTGCCAAATTAATTTCTACTTATGAGAGTGTATCTCAAGGATATTCTAATGTATCATGGGCTACGACTGAGTTTGTCATCCAATTTTTGTTTTGTAACAGTATTTTCTGTTACAAAAATCATTATGCATTTTTTTTTTAATTTGATTTATATGCCGCCCTTCTCCGGAGACTCAGGGCGGCTTACAATGCGTTAAGCAATAGCCTTCATACTTTTGTATATTTATACAAAGTCAGCTTATTGCCCCCACAAACTGGGTCCTCATTTAACCTACCTTAGAAAGGATGGAAGGCTGAGTCAACCTTGAGCCTGGTAAGATTCGAACCTGCAGAAATTGCAGGCAGCTGTGTTGCATTAAACCACTGTACTACCAAGGCATTAAATCAGGGGTTCCCAATCCCCCAGTCTGCAGCTCACAACCAGTCCATGGTCCATGGGAAATCGGGCCATGCAAGTGAGCACATGAATCTGCATTTGTGCAGGCAGCAGATGTGTATGCCTGCCGCTTGTGCAAATGGAGCTTCGTGAGTATGTGTGCCTGCTGATTGTGCAGAACCAAACGCTCTTCCACCTCCTGCCCCTGCTGGTTCGCAGAGCCAAAAAGGTTAAAGATTGCTGCATTAAATTCAAATCAGTAAAAAAAAATCAGAAACATGTAACAAATCCAAATGAAGTACTACAAAAATTGTTAGCTATTGATAATATAATTATTGTTAAGAAGCATATTACTAGGATTTTAACCATATATCTATTCAGCAGAATATAATTTGCCTACATTAGGCTTAAATGGTGTATGCCTGTATAAATAGTAATAAAATAATATAAATAAATAAATGTATAAAATAATGTACTGTATATATTTATTGTGTTGTTTGTTTAGAAGTAAACTTTATAATACAAATTAATGTCTGCTGTAGAATATGCTATTTTTTTTAATCAGTGAATACTAGACATGAATATGATAAATTTATCAGAATAACATCAATTTATTTCTTTTCTATTTTTTCCTTGCTACTGTTACATAAACTTATATAGATTATTGTATTCTGTGCTTCCTCCATCCGTGGCCAATGAACTGAGACACAAGCGTCCTGTACCAGCAAAACGTTATGATAATGTGACTATATTGTTTAGTGGCATTGTTGGTTTCAATGCCTTCTGCAGTAAACATGCCTCTGGAGAAGGAGCTATGAAAATTGTCAATCTTTTAAACGATCTTTATACAAGATTTGATATTTTGACTGATTCACGAAAAAACCCATTTGTTTTTAAGGTAAATATGATATCTCATTTCTGTTCTGTGAAGAGGGTAACATTGTAATGACCAGTTTATAACAAATAGTATAAGATGTATGGCTGAGCACATTTCTTTATGTATTACAAACAACAGAAGCTAGAGATGTGGGTTGCAGATTCCAAAACATTTTACTGAAGTCTCAAACTACCTCTTGGCAACTTTCCTAATATGGACTTATATAGTCTGATGCTAGGCACAGTATTTACAATCTGAAGTTAAATTCCAGGTTGGTTTATCATGAAATAGAATGAAATATCAGTTTTGGTCAACAGATTGTTAGAGCCTTGTATACAGATAAACATAATAATAATAAATTCTATTTTATTATGTTTAACCATACAAGAGTGATAATTTTTAATATTATATGTCACTGTGGGTTGAATAACATTCAGGAAAATTGTTTTAACTACTGCTATAAAATAATATAGATAATAGGTTTATTCTTCCAGGAAAAGATTGTTCTGATCTGTGGTCTTGCACTTCTTTTTGTGGCTTATTGGGAGATATTTATTTTGATGTACTTCCTAATCTCAGACTTATTTTTAAATAAAATTTCTTGTATTGACCATACTGGAATTTTGGCAAATGAAGCCAGTGGGTATATTAAGATGGAAATTATGTTATTTTGGGACAAAAAAAGTGCTACATTCAGATGAGAAGTTAATATAATTTTCCAGAACTTGATTTCCTTTATATGTGTTAAGAATGCATCTCCCATAATTATTGATATAAGTGTATGTACTGAAGATTTTAGCTTCTTAGGATTTGTAAAAAATGGGGAAGATCGAGTAAATATGTTCATGTTTGATAACTGTGAAAATACTCTTTCTAATGAAATGATACTGCTTTAATGCCAGATGATTGATAATCAAAGGTCATTATTTTACTGAGGCAAGCAAAGGAAGGGAATATCATAACTTTCAGATTTATATTTTGCTAGGTTGAGACAGTTGGAGACAAATATATGACAGTAAGTGGCTTGCCAGAACCATGCATTCATCATGCACGTTCTATCTGCCACTTAGCTTTGGATATGATGGAAATAGCTGGACAAGTTCAAGTTGATGGAGAATCTGTTCAGGTCAGTGATTGGCAACATATTATGGGATTTAGGGATTTTATTATGGTGCAATTTCTGTCCTGACTTAATGTAGAATCAACTTTCAGGTTTTTAAACTCCATAAAAATAAGCAAGGTGAGGAGCCATATTACGAGAAATCTGTCTGCTACTTTTTTTAGTTACTAATTCCTTGTTGCTATATAGATATAGCATATAGCTGCAGTATGTCACAGAAGTGAGTACACCCCCTCACATTTTGTAAATATTTTTTCATGTTACAACACTGAAGAAATGACACTTGGCTACAATGTAAAATAGTGAATATACAGCTTGTATAACAGTGTAAATGTGCTGTCCCCTTAAAATAAAGCAACACACAGCCATTCATGTCTAAACTACTGGCAACAAAAGTGAGTACACCCCTAAGTGATAATGTCCAAATGGGGCCCAAGTAGCCGTTTTCCCTCCCTGGTGTCATGTGACGTGTTAGTGTTACAAGGCCTCAGGTGTGAAGGGGGAGCAGGTGTATTAAATTTGGTGTTATCGCTCTCTCTCATACTGGTCATTGGAAGTTCAACATGGCACCTCATGGCAATGAACTCTCTGAGGATCTGAAAAAACTAATTGTTGCTCTACATAAAGATGGCCTAGGTTATAAGAAGATTGCCAAGATCCTGAAACTGAGCTGCAGCATGGTGGCCAAGACCATACATGGTTTAACAGGACAGGTTCCACTCAGAACAGGCCTCGCTATAGTCGACCAAAGAAGTTGAGCGCCCATACTCAGCGTCATATCCAGAGGTTGGCTTTGGGAAATAGACGTATGAGTGCTACCAGCATTGCTGCAGAGGTTGAAGGGGTGGGAGGGTTAGTCTGTCAATGCTCAGACCATACACTGCATGCTGCATCAAATTGGTCTGCAGGGCTGTTGTCCCAGAAGGAAGCCTCTTCTAAAGATGATGCACAAGAAAGCCTGCAAACGGTTTGCTGCAGACAAGCAGACTTAGGACATGGATTCCTGGAATCATGTCCAGTGGTCTGATGAGTCTATGAATGGCTGTGTGTTGCGTTATTTTGAAGGGGCAGCACATTTATACTGTTATACAAGCTGTATACTCGCTACTTTACATTTAAAAAATGTGAGGGAGTGTATTCACTTCTGTGACATAATGTATATAGCTATAAATAAAAGAGTTCTTAAAACTGAGGATTCATTAGTTTAAAATTATGGACAAGGGGAAGAAATCCTATGTATTTAACATGTCTCTATAATATAATATATTCTAAGATGGACCAATAGACTAACATTTCTTTGCAATTTTTACCAGGCAATTAGTTACATTTATAAATACATAATTTTATTTTGCCATTCTTAGAGAAAGTGTAGATGTTTTCAGAATTACATTGAATGATTTTCTAGTTCAGTTGTATAAGTGAAAAGTTGAAATATGCTATATTTGTTCTAGGTTTGTAGTGTTGTGTTACATATTTTGGTATATAAATTCAGTTAAAATTAAGCATAAAGTTAATATTTAATTTCATATTCATAGTACATTCCCATTACTTACTAATGATACTGTTGACCTAATAATAAATCAACTTGATATCATTTTCTTTTCTATTAATTTTTTATAATAGATAACAATAGGTATTCACACTGGAGAAGTGGTCACAGGTGTCATTGGCCAAAGGATGCCACGTTATTGTCTTTTTGGGAACACTGTAAATCTCACAAGCAGAACAGAAACGACAGGTGAAAAAGGAAAGATCAATGTCTCTGAATATACTTATAGGTGAGAAATTAAGTTTACTTGTATCATTGTATCTATTTCCAAACCACAAATGTGGTTTGCTTTTAAGGTGCTTTTATGAAATTTACTCTAAGGATATTTTCTTTCAATTTAATTAATTAAAGTTTAATTTTGAGATAAATTCCTGGTAAAATATGGATACACTCCTGTTATTTTTGTCATAACAGTATGGAAGTAGTTTACCATACAAATAATGCTCAATTTATGACCACAGTTGAGACCAGAATTTCTGTTGCTTGGTTATGTGGTTGTTAAGTGAGTTGCACCCTATTTTACAATCTTTTTGGCCACAATTGTTAAGTGAATCACATAGTCATTAAGCGAATCAACCTTCCAATGTTAACTTTGCTTGTTAGCTGTGAGGTTCACATGACCCTGGAACATGTAACAGTTATCATAAATATACGGTTTTCAAGCATCTGAAATTTGATCACATAACTGTGGGGATGCTGCAATGATTGTAAGTGCAAGGACTGGTCATAAGTCACTTTTTTCAGTGCTATTGTAACATTGGACAGTCACTAAATGAATGGCGGTAAATCAAGGATTACCTGTAGTCCCTTTGCTTCAATTTATACATGTCATCTTACGTAAACTATTTAAAGTAAAAAACTTAGCATTGCCCAGATAATAATGTAATCATTTTCAAACAGTCTGAGTGGTCTTTATAATGTAACTTTTGCCAAATATAATCTTAATATTTAAATGAAAACCAAGATACTAAATTTCAGTAGCCTAACTAGGAATGTGCATGGATGACTATGATAGGTACTATTATTCAGATGATGGCTTTGGATGATCAGACATTCTGCATAATGGAAGATGCTGGATTCTAGTGTATCTTTTATTTATTTGCTTGTCACTGCTTTCACATACCACCACTGGAAAGTGAAAGGTTGTCTCCCTATTTTGTTTTTATTTTTTGACATTGTGCATTGTATTTTCCTTGATCTATCTATTTTCCGAACCTAAGGGGCATTATGAGTGTGTGTACTCTGTGTTTGGTCTTGGTGATGTTGACTGTAAGAACTTGCCCCAGCTGGTCCCTCAAGAACATAAGACTCTTGAATCCATTAAGTTGAATCAAAAGAATGTTTACTGAGAGAGAGTGATTTCAGGAAAGCAAGGTGGAATCTGAAAAGTCTCGAGCAAAACACACAGTAATTCTTTCATTTCCCCAAACCCAACTCCCCCTGACCAGTCCACTGGCAGCTAATATGATCCTGCAAGGTTGTGAACTCCGAGATACTAGGCAGCTAACAGTTCACCCTCAGGGCCTGACAGCCTTGAAACGAGGCTGGAACCAGCTGGGAGGGAGTCCGTTCCATCTCTGAAGACAATCCCCCTCCCTAATTCCCAAGCAGTACAGCAAAAGCATGTGAAAAATGCCAGTGAGCCCCCCCCCTTCTCACAGAATGGCAGGACATGATGGTGGACCTTAGATGCTGCCCCCCTGAACAGCAACATTAGTCCTGAACATAAAACAAGAGAAATGTCATTTGGGTTTGTCAGGATACTGATTATGGAAGTGTTTTACAAGTTTAGGGGCTCTAACATGGTGGTGATCCACCCATTCATTCTGAGCTGTTGGGAAATCTTTTCATGCCACCAGGTACTGAAGGGTTCCCCTATGCTTACGGGAATCTAGAATTTCCCAGATTTCAAAGTGTTGTTTCCCTTCTATCATGAAAAGTTCTGGGGGTTGGTAGAAGTTTAGGTCTAATGGGAGAAGTGACCTTAGACTTCAATAAGGTGCAATGAAACACGGGGTGAACCTGTTGAAGGGATTTGGGCAAATCTAATTCTACAGTTACTGCATTAATGATGCGTTTGATTGGGAAGAGCCCTACAAACTTGTGTCCCAGCTTCTTTGATGATTGTAGAGATTGCAGGAAGTAGGTGGAAAGATAAACTCGGTCACCAATCTTAAACGGTTTGGGTTCTTCATGCTTCTTGTCAGCTTGCTTCTTATAAGCCTCATTAGAATCCGCCAATGCCTTCCTCACCACTTGCCACATATTTCTCAGTTGGAAGTCCCACTCTTTCAGTGACGTGACTCGGGTAGGTCATTGAGGGGCAATTCAGGCATAGGGTTGAAGTCCTGTCTTTCTTTTCATGGAACAGAACCAGGGCTGCTACCTGGAATCAGGCCAGTTGAATAAAACCATGGACAAGATTTTTGTCAATAAACAGTCGCAGTTCATCTAACTCCCTCAAGGTCATTAAATTTAGTTTCAGCTTAGGTAGTTTAGCTCTGGGAAGGATTTCTATAGCACAGTTCATCAGCTAGTGAAGGGGGAGTTTGTCCAAACCCTTTTTGCTGAACACCTCTCTTAGTATTCTTTGGGGATAGCAGGGCGGTCCTTCTATTGTCCCTGCATTACTGCCCTATTTCCCACCATGGAGAAGCTGCCTTCTGGACTCCAACTTGTTCCCGGGGAGGGCAACTCGTTCAGAGTTTTAGCAATCCCCTTCTCCAGTTTATGTATGGATTTCACTTCTTTAGCTAAGTCAAACTAGAAGCCATTCCATCCCTGGGGCCACTATGAAGCTTAAAGTCTCTATGTGGGCCCCATCCATATTTCTATGGGTTCGGTGACAAATGTTGCTGGGATGCCCCTGGTACGGATCCGTCCAGTTGGCAAAATGCAGTGGGTACTTTCAGCTGCCTCAAACAGATTCCTAATTTTTCAACCAGAGCTGGGTTAACCAGGCACCTGGTGGAGCCTGAGTCTCGCAGGGTCTGTAAGGTGGCCTTCAACCCTGAGGCTTGGAAACTTAGCTCTGTGTCGACCGATCTGGTGTGACCGGACCACTTACCAGGGGATCATTGTTGGTGTCGGTGTCAGTTAGACCCTGGCCATCAGCTGGTGGAGTCAGAGTTCCATCTCGCTTCAGTGATGGGGTGAACTCTACAAACTCTACTCCCTTCAGTTCCATTTTCCTCGTCCACTGTGAGGCATTTGTGGCTTTTCCAGGGGGCCTGGGGGGTGGATCTTGGCTTGGCAGCCAGTTTTGCACTCTGCTGCTTGGTGTCCCTCCTGGCCACATTTGAAGCATTTCCAGGCAGTGGAACATAGCTGTGGGTTTTGTGGTTTCGCTGCCTCTCTCTTCTATGGGGCCAGTTTCTTCCACAGTTGGGTCGAGCAGGACCTGTTGCATACTTGGTTGATCTCCAACTCTTCAGCCAGGATGTACCAGTCATGAAGGGTGGCAGGGGCTCCCTTCAAGACTTAGGCATTGTACCAGTTGTTGTTCAGCCCATCTTTGAAGCAACTGATGAGGATATCTTCTGGCCAGTCATTCTGGCCAGTCATTAAGATTGCATGCCAGGTCACGGAATTCCTCTGCCCTTACCCTGCGACCTTGATTCATGGTCTTGATGTGGTCCCTTGCTTTGCGGTCAGCTAGAAGGTCTTCGAATCGCCAATGAATCATCATCATAAAGTGATTGAAGTTTCTCAGCTCCAATGCATTTGCATTATGGAAGGTCACCATCCAGCAGGCTGTGGCCCCTTCCAATGCCAGGATGATGCTTTTCACCTTGCCACCTTCAGTAGGGATCTCCTGCCCATATTCTTGCATGTATGTCAGATGGTGGGCCAGAAAGAATTTCAACTGCTGGGAGTCTCCATCGAACTTCACGTCAAGGGGTGGGGCCTTTCCGCACCTGGCTCTCACTTGGCCACTTCCCACCAGGGCAGGAGCCCTGGCAACTCCACTAGGTGCCCTACCTGCGACAATCAAGGCCGCGGCTGGAGCACTGAAACTCCCACCGTGGTGTCTAGTGCTGACACTCACTCATCCTGTTGGGTTTGCCGGGCCTCACTGGTAGCAGCCTTGGCATCTGCCTGGTGTGCCTTCAGGGTTTGGGAGGGATTCATCATGAACTGCATGCCTTGCCTCACAAACCCTGAAGGCACATGAGGCACATGCCAAGGCTGCTACCAGCGAGGCCCAGGAAACCCAAGAGGAGGAAGATGGGGGACAAGCAAATAAGTTTTTCCCCCTGGGAGATAGCACAACATGAAATTGAAGTGGCAGGTCCTTACATTAGGCAGAATCTGAAAAGTAGCAATTCTTTTATTTTGCCAAGCCCAATCCCCTCCTGACCAGTCCACCGGCAACCAATGTGATGCCACAAGGTTGTTATCGGGAACTCCAGGATACTAGGCAGAGAACAGTTCATCCTCAGGCTGGAACCGGCTGGGAGGGAGTCTACTCCATTTCCGAAGACAATCCCCCTCCCTAATTCCCAAGCATCTACAGCAAAAGCATGCGAAAAATGCCAGCAAGCCTCCTCCCTTCCACCTTTCAACAAATGGCAGGACACGATGGTGGACCTGACAGGGACTTTCAGAATGCCTGCTGCAATGTTTGTTATCTTTAAAGGGTCTTTGAATGGTCTGCAATCAACAGATGAAAGAACAAAGTGCAAGTGCATATTTAAAATCTCACGCCACCATCAATGTTATTGGTGGCTACTGTTTTTTTTTTCAAAAGCTCTTTGCTGATAGCTTGTCTTGATTTGATTGATTTTTTTGGAAATCTTTGACTTGAATGTCATACATTCATCATTGGACTCTAGACATTCTGTTGTGTCTTTTTGCTTGCAGAGTCTGCTAAAGATGCAAGAAGATGCTGTATTAGTCAGCCTGCTCTGTTTAGGTGTATGTATTCATTTTTATCGTGCATTTATGTCCTGTTGATTCAGTCCATGGTATATTTTGCAAAACATGTTGATTATTTGAACTTGTTGATTTGGTACATTTGATGCAGTTATTAAAAAAGCAGTTGAACTGCTGATCAAGGTTATGTGTGTGACTTTTAATTATGCTTTTGCTGTTTGTGCTTCTGAGATGTGAATGTCATTTAATTTTTTATAACAGGAGTGGTCATGCTCTGGAGGAAATGATTGACTGAAAGGCTGTGCCTTCGGAGATCAGAAACAGAGCCAAATCTATGTTCCCTCACGTTCTTTTCAGTTAGAAATCCTATAGCCGCCAGACAAATGGTTGCTCCAAAGAAGGCTATGATGGAGGATACCAGATCCAAGCTGTACAAATCCAGATGACAGCCAACAATAAAAGTTTTCTGCAACTCTCTGGTCCCTTCTGGTGGTCATCCAGATTTTGGCAGCCCAAGAGACCTAATCACTGTTTCTCATGGATGAAACATCCAGCACTGTTCCAGATGTATTTATATTGAATCACAGCCAGCCTGAATGGTGTCAACAAATCTTCCAAAATTCAATGTTCTACATTTATATTTCATTCATGCTCCTATTTAATTATAATCTGTTTAATTTCAGATGTCTGATGACTCCAGAAAACTCAGATCCACAGTTCCATCTAGAACACAGAGGTCCTGTTTCCATGAAGGGTAAAAAAGAACCAATGCAAGTTTGGTTTTTGTCCAGGAAGGGCACAGAGGTATGACTAACCAAAACATTTTATCAAAATAAAAACAAAACAAAAGTGATATGATATGAGTAATCAAAACATGTTCATCAAAATAAAAACAAACCAAAAAATGATGCAAGGACTACATATGAAGTCTATATCAGGCTTTCTAGTTGCAAAACTGAATGTCCTCTTGAAGAAATGAGCCAAAAATATTGCTATGTTAATATATTTGCCATCTTGACAGCCAATTACTATCTATTATATTTTACCAGACTATGTGTTTGTATTTCAGGAAATCTTTGAGAAAATGCCAACTGATTAAACATTAATTTTAATCTTTTCCCCTCCTGCACTAGAATTTATATTTATTTAATGTCTAGTCCTAGTAATATCAGTTTATTGTTTTGCACATTTATAGTCAAAAGCTTTTTTTACACGGCTTAAACTTTAGATTTGTTTTCAAAAATGGTTACATTTTATCATACATTTGCACATAGATTGAGGCCCAATATTCGGCACAGCCACAGAGGAGAAAGCAGTTAACTGTACATTATTTTCAAGGAGTAAAATGTGTGTGAAATAAAGAATTTATTATGTGTAATAGAATTTATACATAGTCTAAAATGTTACTTGTCTAGATTTTTTTTTTTATTAAGAGCATTTAAAGTTCTGCCTACAGAAATAGTATTTATTTTAATATGTATTTAGTTAATTAAGGATATAACATTCATTTACACAGCTCAGCTAAAACAACTGCTGTTAAATCTTTTGATTGGAAAATTTCAAGTGATTTGTATTCTGATGGATCAAAATCTGAAATTGTAGAATGCTGGATTCTTTCTAATGCAGTATGTAGGATACATTCTATACATATTTTATATTTTATAATATATTTATATTTTAAAAATCTCACACATGTGCTTATAATATGATGTAACATCTCTCTCTTTCTCTCTCCATATACTGTATCTCCGTCTCTCTTTGAGACCTCTTTACTGCCAAGCAGGCAACAGTTAATTTATGTCTTTCACCTTGGGAAAAAAACATTTTTTCTGAACATTTTTTTTTACTTTTTATTGCTTAATAGCTGCAACAAATGACAGAAAGGATGGATTCTGTGTCTATTTTAATTGCTTTGATTTTTAAAGTTACTTAATTTTAATTGCTGATGTGTTTCAAGTTTCCATGGCTGGGAGATTTTTTTTTTAAAGCCAATCATAGATACTGTAAACAACATGAGGTTCAGAACACAAAATAGCAAATTTGAAATGGCATCTTTTTTTAATAATCTGAATGTTGGAAATAAAAACAAGGACACTCTTTTTCAGAGGGAAGCTTAAAAATATTAAAAAAACCAACATAAACTAACAATAAAGAAAAACGATAATAATAATAACCTTTATTGTCACTGCACAACATATGTACAATGAGATTGGTGGAGCTCCCTATAGATAAGAGTAAAGATAAAGAGTAAGAAGAAAATAGGGATGGAAATACAAAAAGGTATAAAGAGAAAGAAAGGAAAACAAAGATATATACAACGAATGACTTCCAACTTCTGCCAAGAATATGAGGAACACTTACATTCGATTCTTAGTAAATCTATTTTCATGGCCACAGTATAATATTAAACTGTTATCATATATAATGGCTGCAAAATAGCATCATTCTTGGAAGCAGTAAGTAATAAATAACCAATTTATAAGTAATTTATAAAGCTTTAATTTATAAGAGATAAGTAAACAAGATTAGCCTAGCCTTCATTAAAATAAATAGAATCTAATGCTTTGATGTATTATTGAGGAGAAAGAATTAACTCACGTATTACTCTATCCTTTGAGACATCACACATTCATATCACAGTAGGTTGCAGAAAAATATCAGTAATTCTATGAGAAGAAGATAATATTTCAAACTATTTAAATCCTGTAGTTCACCAATTAAAGTATGTTTCTGACATGCCAGATATTATTATTAGATTGCAGTACCTTACTTTTTAAACTTTTTTTGCATGCCTTCAAGGAAGTAACACATGATGCTAACTGAGCCAGGTGAAATGCTGGAGAAGAACAGAGTGAACCTGTCCTGCCATTTATCTAGTCTGGCAGTATCAGATATGAGTGCAGTTGCTTCTATTTTATGTCCAATTCCATAATAAGCAGTAATTCTTACATCAAGTTTCCTGCTTTTCCTGCTTTTTGTTCAGTTTGCATTTGATATTATAATATTTATGCTGTACGTGTGTTTCAATATCTTTTGTCTTCCTTTCTGGTTATGAACATAAATAATCCATGCAAATGCTTGCTAATCATAAAATATTTCACACATATGCTTTTCATCTCCATGTTTGGTGACTAATCATCATTATCTTTATGCTTGTGTACTCAAAACCATTTCTGCAAGAGAAATTATGATACCAAGAATCATAAACCCAGAGAATTTATAAACATTGTTTGACAATTATCAGTGTACTTATCCAGCTGTTTCTTCCAATCTGCTTTTACAATGTATTGCGGTAATTCTATTAAGATAGTTTCTACATTGTTAGTCTTCTACTATGTATTTGCTGTTATTTGAGACAACATATGCATTTTCTCTATGGAAGAGAAATGAAGGTTGTTTAATGTAAGGTTTATGAAATAAAAATCAATGTCTACTCTTAAGCTGATCATATTATTAAGCATACAATAATAAATTATCAAACATTTTATGTATTTATATGCATAAATATTGTAGATGTTTACATTAGGAATGGAAAGACTTTCACAGAAAAATTCAGTCGCCCTATTTTATCAGACTTAGGGCAAATTTTTTGATCTATTTTGGAAGCATGTCTCATATCTATCCAATATGTAAAAAAGGGCCATTATACAAACCAGAAAGCAGCAAATTGCTTTAAAAACATAGCTTTAACAACATCCAAGGAAAAACATATGTTAAAGGAAATTACAGTATATGATTGCCAGTATGCTTTGATCTGTAAAAAAATTTAACTTGAAAACATTCGGATTTTTAAAAATCTGATCCTTTCTTATGTAGCCTTTCTAGGAGTCCTGGTTTTGTTGTTGTTTTTTGGATAATTTCACTTGTGTCAGAGCACTGAAAGTGATTGTGTTTGCATGATACAGGTTTCTAAACCTTCAGAGCATAGCATTTCATATATACTATAGCACTCTTTTATCTTTCCAAGCTTATAATGGCAAGAACAGGAAAAAAAATAAAATTCTGTTTCAAGTTGCATCTGGGTGGAATCTCCAAATTGATGATGATGCAGTTCTGCAAAATATATTTTCTACTGTTTATCCATAAGTAAAACATTTTACGTGTGAGTAAGTAGTGAAACCTTTCAAATTATCTTCATTTTATTGCTTAAAAACAATAAAATTATATGTGGGTGAATCAGATTCATCATGTGTTCATATATAATCCCATGAAAACATAATGCATATGTAAACAGCATTTATATTTCTATGAAGTACTGATTATTTATCCATATGTCAAATATGTCAAACTAATAAATGCAGTTTAGATATATTGTAGGGAATAATATATCAGTTTAAATTAATTTGATATTTAAACCTGTATTAGATATAAATGAATAAAGATGATAAGGTTAGGGGGAAGGTAGAATGGAGTTGTTACTGTCATGCAGAAGACTCAGATAGTTTCCTGTTTTTTTTATTGTGAAACTTTGTGAAGTTGCATTCTAGGAATCAGTTGTGATTGTAGTTACTGTACTAGCTCTCCTGCCTGAGCTGTGCAATTGCTTCCCATGGCAAAGCTTGTAGTAGTGAAGTTTCCTAGACTTGGACACTCCCCCATGTGGAATCTGAAATGGCTCAAAAATGATTCAAAGGTTCATGGCCACCATGAGCTTAACCTAGATCATCAAGGACCCAAGATGTACTGCTGGAGCTGGTTTTTCTTGTGCTCAGAACACTCTTGCAGCTTTCTGTTTAGGGACCTTATGGATCACCACTCCTGCCCTCCGGAATAGCATTCCTCCTGAGATCCATTTAGCCCTGACCCTGCTGTCCTTCAAGAAAACGCTTGACTTTTCCAGCAGGCCCTGGATCAAGGCAATTGATGAACTGCTTAAATGACTTCTATTTAAATATTGTGTATTCTCCAATTGTTGACATTGTTGTATTTGATCTTGTGTTGTTTTGTTTTGTTTAAAGATGCTTTTAATCTATTGTACATTGTCTTGAGTCATTTCAGATAGCTGTATTTATGTGATTTTGTGTGTGTGTATACTGTATGATGTGTGTGTGTGTGTGTGTGTGTATATACACACATAGATACATACATACAGTATCTAAGGGCAAGCTGGACACGCTAAGGACATGCTAAGGACATGCTAAGGACACACAGACAAAAATATATAAATGTCATGAATAAAATGTGTTAGTATTTAGCATGTGTACATACGTATACAGTATATATATGTGTGCGTGTATATCTCTGTGTATACACAGAGTGTGTGCACATACACACAGAATATATGTATAAATGTTATATTAATGTGCACAAGCAAGGTTTTTGAAGTATGGATTTTCCCCATAGATTTTTTGCAAGATATTCTTTTTTCTCCTTTATGTTGGTGAAAAATTATATGTTAATTTTCTGAAAAGATATAATAAATACACTTTATTCTTAATGTTATATATACAACCTGCTTTATTCTTTTAAAAAAATTCAAAATAAATATAAGCAGAATATGCACTATTTCTAATGGTAGACCTGATAATTAAGCTGAATTTTCTAAACGCATGAAATTAAGGATCAGGTATTTGAATTATATGGGCAGTATCTAACCCTGAACAGCATTCCTATACCTATCATTTTGCAATAATCCAAACAGGAGGTGATTAGAGCATTTGTGACCTTTAGCAGAATTCCTTCCAACCCAGGAATGCAGGGTGCAGTTGACACACAATATGAAGTTGTGCAAAGACACCTGTGGCCATAGCTATCCCCTGCACTTTAAGCAGAATTAACGAGTCCAAGAGAAACCCCCTGATTGTGCATTGAATCTGAGTGTAATCCTGTTGTGATTCATATCTATCCAGTTTCAGGATCCATGGCACCCAAAATCCACAGCTACTCAGTCTTGGTGGGGTTAAGCTGGAACCAGTTTTCTCCATACAGTCTTCACAGCCTCTGTCTTCACTTCATCATAACATAGATTTTGAGACCAATTGTCATTCTCCTATTCAAGAACTATTGATTCTGAACCTAATATATTCTATTTCTGGACTTTAGTAAAACTGATTTCTTAATCTTTATGTATATTTACTACAGCTTCCTGTAGTGCTTATGGAATGCCAAAACAATCTTAAAAACATTCAGCATTAAACATCTATTGTATGTACCATAGCAATACTATTATGGAAATAGTCTCAAACTCTGCATCTCAGATGTATTTCTTCAAAGGCTAGTGTTTTTATAGTCCTTCAGAAGTACAGTAAGGTGGAAGAGGATCCAGTATCTAAGGGCAAGCTCTTTTGCAGAACCCCTCATCAGAAAGGCCAAAGTTCTACTGTGCTACATTGGATAATGTGGTAGCTGCATCTAAATGAACAAGCAAAAATCTTTTGGTGTTGATATAAAGCATTATGGTAAGCAGGAGAGTTGGGGGGAATTGTTGGATTTAATTTAATTTATTTATTGATTTGATTTGATTTGTATGCCGCCCTATCTCCATAGGACTCAAGGCGGCTCACAACAATTAAAAAATACAATCTCAATCCAAATAAAACATATTAAAAATACATATTAAACACATATTAAAAACACATTAAAAATAATCAAAACCCCATCAGTCCAGGCTGGGCAATTTAAACACCATGTTTTTAGTTCGCGGCGGAAAGTGCGTAGGTCAGGGGCCAACTGGAGCCCCAGGGGGAGTTGATTCCAAAGGGTGGGTGCACCCACAGAGAAAGCTCTACCTCTGGGGGTCGCTAGCTGACATTGTCTAGGCAATGGCACCCTGAGTAGGCCCTCCCTGTGAGAACGCACTGGGCGATGGGAAGCTGTTGCTGGTTGCAGATGGTCCGACAGATATCCTGGGCCTAAGCCATTTTATTTTATGTAAGATGCTAAGTTAATTCAGCCATTGACAATAAGATCTACCACATAGCCATTTCTTTCAAACATAGATAGTCCATGACTTACCCTGGAATGCTTAACATTATCAAAATCATCTGACTCTGCAGAGTGATTAGCCTCAAGTGACTCGACTTTTTGTCTCCTGAGCTGACATTCCAGATTCTACTGGAGCTTTTTCCTTGACATCTGAGTCATAGCATCAAGGCATGTTCTACTTGCAACAAAGGACAAAATGAATTCTTTTCCTCCATTTCATTACCAAGACCAATCATACTGGCTGAATCTGAGATAACATCTACCACCATTTCTTAGGGCAGAGGCTATCTGAAGTGTTTAAAGAGAAACTAGTACATTCACCTCTCCCATCTACTCCACCAACAGTTTCCCCAGTTGGCTGCTTCTTCCAGTCTTGAAATGCTACACTGCAGGAGCAGTTATGACAGCTTGCAACATAAATGGAAAGTAACTTGTAGAAATGTAATGCTAGAGCATCTGGCTTAGCCTGGCTTTTCCTTTGTGCTTTCTTCTTTAGGAGTCCTTAATTATGATGCATTAAATGAAGAGGACCAGAACAATATATGCCCCTTGAGGAAGATCTCGGGAGGAATGACTGGATGCAAATGCCAGCTACTGAGCCACATCCAGCAGCTGTTGACTGAGAAGGCAAATTCACATTGCACAGTAGTACAATAGGCCTAAATTGGATGCACAATAGAAAATGAAAAGTGCAAAAGGAATTACTGTTGATTTGCTTTCCCAAACTAGGTCTTTCAATTTGGATAGATGTGCAAAAATAGAATAAGTAGAGAAAATGGAATGTTGTATCTCAAGCTAAAATCTAAAACTCCTCAATTGCAGTTAGAACTGAAAGGCAGTTTTGATTATTCTAATATACAGTATTATTTATAAATATAAATACATAAATTAACAATTTGCTTGATATTGCTTGTCCTTAGTGTCATTTAGTGTAATGGTATGAAAGTGTAAATTTAGAAAAAAAATGCTGAAAATGGCAAATATCACTTCCTTATCTGCCTCTATTTTTGAAATCATTTCCCCTCTGCTTTAAGAAGTTCTAAGGAAAACCACATTCAGTTTATTTTCAACAGTAGATGTTGTGAAGATATCAGGCAGAAACAGAACAATTAAAATAGCAAAAAAAGAAAAAGAAAAATCCTAACCACTGATCTTCATTTCCAAAAAAGTTTTACTTTTTACTGTTAATGTAATGCTGTAATGATGTCATCCAGTGTATTTGAATCTTTTAATTATTTTTAATTTAATATTAAGAAGGAGCAAAACAGGAAAACAAAAGAGGAGGAAATCACAGAAAAAGGAAAACAAAAGGCAAATAAAAGCCCCAAGTGTGTATGTTTTGTATTCTTAGATTTTAAAAAAAGCAAGTAAAATTTTAGTCTTTTATCAAGATTAATCCAGTGTGATGTTACTTTTTCATAGTACAAAACTGCTAGTCCCTATCTTAGCTACATTTGCTGAAATCTCCAATACTGTAAATATAAAAATAAATCTTAAATTAATCTCATGCTCAGTTATAAATGATAACTGAGAAGTTATCATTCTTTATTCCAAAAATTTCCAACATTTTAAAATGCTTTCCCATTACTACGTCTTCCCAGTTTAAGAGTCCAATCTTCTGTATTTTTAGAAATTTATTGTTTCCTCACTTTAGGTCTTTTCCTTCCAGTCTGGTATTTTTCTCAGAATGTTTAATCACCACTTATAACAAGCAATTCTGAGCAGATAGTTCTAAATTGTTCCTTGGGATTGGGTTTTAAGAAAAAAGGAATCCTCTCCCCCAATTCCAGTCACTGTTCACCTACTCGCTCCAGCACCAGACTTAGTTGTTCCTCAGTTGTCCCAGCTTCATGGTAGCCATCTTTCGGCTTCCTCTTCTTGCTGTGGCTGAGAGGGAAAAAAAACCTCCGGTTAAACAGGAGAGTTGCAATTCTCCGTGACCTCACAGGGCATCCCTCTTTGCTTCACGGCCCCTATAGGGCAGCTTTGGCTCCTTTTGGAGCTCACCAGCAGGGAGAACTCAGCATGGGGGTGGGGCACAGAGACCCGCTCCTCATGTCCAATCTTGCTGCGACATCAACCAGAAGCCCTAGTTTAGATATTGTTGAACTATTAGGATCAATATAGATTTTTGTGTAAGCACTCATTTAGTTCCCTGTCCAAAATGAATTGGATCTTGGACTTGTATTTCATTCACTACAATAAACATAAACAGCAAATAAAATAATACCAAATCAAAATAAATATCAAAATCAAAACAATACTTCTGGAGTTTATTGTGAGCATATATAGCATCTTAAAAGCATTCATGGTATGTTTATAAAACAGTGTGTATGTCTAAAAAGAAGCAAACAGTATGTTTTATTCCCTAACACCACACTGCATGAAAACAATCCTGATTGATTGATTGAATCTCATGACATCACTGAGCAGTCCATTTTTCTGCAATTACACAATACCAAAATAATTGGAAGTGATATCACAAAAATATCTGGTTTCATATTTATAAGTTTAGAGAAACAGAAACAGTTGTTTTTATTTTGCTCAGAGTATTGTTCATTCTTTCCTGCTGGCCTACACAATACTTTTCTTTCCCTATGGCTTTTGATAAATAAAGGTATGTATATGGCAATCAAAATTGCACATATAAATCAAAACATTAAAAGCTATTTCCAGTAAAACAAAGTATTCTATAATATTGTAATAAATAACTGATTCATGGAAAGATTTTAAAATTCACTACAGTATCTTCCATAAACAAGAATGATTTTTATTGTTAGCAAAATGTCTATCAAAGGGTAACATTCAAAGAAAGTTAGAACAATTAATCAGTGGAATGACTTGCTTCCAGAAGTTGTGGGTTTTCCAACAGTGGAGGTTTTTAAGAAGAGATTGGACAATCTGAAATGGTATACGGTTTCTGCTTGAGCAGGGGGTTGGACTAGGTCTCTTGTAAATCTGTTTTTCTGTTAAAAGCTGTATCTGCATATGCTGGAGGTAGCAGTCAACTGTTTGACTAACATTCTCTGTTAGTTGCCATGACATAAGACATTTTCATTCATGCTAAAAAGGGCAAATTATATGAAGGGGGGGTAGTAGAATGGGTCAGAATATTGACAGTTGGTGCTTCTTAGGGAAGACATGTTTATACTGTCAGCAAACAACAATTGTCCAACTTCCATGCTTAAAACCTATGCTCTAGATAAGAAGGAGCTGAGGCACAAACACTTGAGATGGAATAAAACAGCACATGGATTGAAATTAGGCAATCAATTTTTGATTAAAAATTTGGGGCACTGTTCTTGAAACAATTATACATATTCAAAATATTGGAGACCACAAAAGACTAGAATCTCTTCAGATAACTAATATGAAAACAGATCCTGGCATGTAAAATAAAATAAATAAAATAAAATAAAAAATAAAATAATAAAATAAAAAATAAAATAAAATAAAATAAAATAAAATAAAAAATAAAATAAAATAAAAAAATAAAATAAAATAAAATAAAATAAAAT